AGTGGCACACACATCACGCATATTACCAGTTTTTGTTTAACCAACTACACACTGTTGGGCATACTGTAAAGCACTCTCATCTCTAATAAGCTAATACATAGTTCAACTTGTAGACAATTCTTCAGATTATGCACAGAAATCTTAGCAGATACACGCATGCTGTTGAAACATTATACCCCCCCCCCCCCAAAACAGAACAGTACAACATATGCACAACAATTATATTGATATTAGAATGAACAAAAATATGCTCACAAAAATAAAACAAAGCAAAATAAAAAATAGATATAGGGCTTGGACAATGTAGCCTAAAGATATCCCCCCCCCCCCCCACAGCAGAGTAAATTGTACAGGGAACTTGTTCAGTTAGTGTGTGACATCAGGCATTCATGAAGTAAACAGGTGTCACACTGATACACTACGACATGGGTGTACTACATCGTGTGAAATAAATTTTGGTTACATATCTGTGCTCCAGTCTAAATGTCCTGAGCCCCGTTTCAGAAAGCAGGATAAGTGGAAATCCTGAGTAAATTCTGGGGTAACTGTGCATATCCTGGTTTTTCGGATTCAGAAAGCCATAAAGCCGTTATCCTGAGTTAACTTAACCCCACAACTTATTCTGTGAACCAACCCTGCTCTGTAGCAGGATCACTGGAACAAATCCTGAGATTGTCTTGCTTTTTAGCTGAGAGCCTCACGAGGACAGAGTCAGACAGGAAGTGTCCTTTTCTAAAGGAGCCTGCAGTGTTAATAATCAGCAGAAATTTACATCAGGAGAGAGAGTGATAAAACCGCGATCAGACGTCTTTCTGAATGAATCTGTTTGAGCATTTTTAGATGTTTATAATTGCTCAGGTTTCAATCTTTTTCTTCAAGTCCAGCTTGTAGCTTTTTCACAGGAAGCTTTAGGGACAGAAAAATGATCAAATTTCATTTCTACTCTCTAATAAAGTTGTGATCAAAGGTTTAAATTCTTAAAGAAGTATATATATATTTATTTTATTGTATATAAAATGTATTAGTTTTTTAATTAAATAAACTTCTAAAAAATTACAGAAGAAAGTTGAGCTCCAGAGGAAGATGAACCCTCTTCAGCTGATCATCCATCACACCTCTTTTTTGTGAAAAATTAACAATCATTCTGATTCACAATGAAAAGTAAAATAAACTTTTATTAAATATTGGCAAAGAGCAGATGGAGTAACATTATTTTTCAGGGGGGACACAATAATTTTGTGTGTTGAAGTTAATGAATAATGTAATTTATTTCTTAAATAAGAGCTTATACCTGACCTTACTTGATTTTACTGTGTTTTCATATTTAATCTTTATTTGCTGCCATGTCTGTTTAGTACTGGCTGGGTTCATTTATACACACATAAAGCACACACACTTGCTTTTATCGACTTGAATAAAGAATAAAAGTAAAAATAAATATAAAGAATAAAAGTTTAGATTCATGTAAAATCATAATCGTTGACTTCATCAGCAATTGTCTGCCTCATTAACTCTCTGTCTCTTGCAGCAGCAACAGTATTGCTTTTTTTTATTTTCCCTAAATATATGTTGATTTTCTCCATATTCAATTATTAATATTTTTAGTTTCAGCACGAGCAATGGACTTCCTGTCTTCTTATTTTCTCCCGCTGCCATGGTGAATCGCGTTATCTGACTACTACTGATGAGGGCTTCGTGCTCCAACTGAACTCAGGGGTAACTTGACTCAGGATTAAGTTACCCAATTGATAACACCTGTTCTGAAACCGAAAATCCTGAGTATCACAGAGCGGGGTAAGTTGATTCAGAGTATCTGCGTTAACCCAGGTTTGTTAAGCCTGCTTTCTGAAACAGGGCCCAGATATTTAGCCAGGTACAACATGTTTTGGTCAGTTAGCTCTTGTATTGTCATTTTGAATGACAGTGTTTTGAAATTGCAAACATGTGACTTTATGTCAGATTGTTGTGTCTTTTGCATGAGAACTGTGTTCAGTTCATTTAAAAAGTGCCATTTTAAATAACACAATGTGGGTGAAGCAGAAAATGTGTTTTGAATTTTGGAGACTTGAGAGGAGGTTTCGCTCTTTGTGTATCCGTTAAAATAGTTGTGTTATGGATGTCGTTTTAGTGTGTTAGCAAATGTAAAAAACCTGTAAACCTGTTTGCCCACCAGAGGCAGAGCTTTTAAAGCTGAGATTACCTGGAGCTCCTCAGAAGAAGTCTCTTGGAGGAGAGACGAAACATTTCATTAAAGAAGAACCCGTCCAGAAGACCTACTTAATTATCTTTTTATCTTCTTTCCTTACTTTCCCTTTTCTACTTACAAAAACAGCTTTAAGCAAAACTGTTCTTTTACTTAGGTTAATAAAAGTAAATTTAAGTGAAAGTGAAACAAGTCAGACAGCAAACCAAACTGCATTTTTCTTCTTTGTATGTTTGTTTGTTCGTTCGTTCGTTCGTTCGTTCGTTCGTTCGTTCGTTCGTTCGTTCGTTCGTTCG